CCTGCTGGGAGAGGGATGAGAGTGACCTGTGGCCCAGTTTTAGCTCAAAGAAGGAAAAGTCACCAAGACTGTCCATGAGGGCAGGAGCTCTTGGTTCTCCTCCTAGATGAGAGTTAGAAGGAATTTGAGAGCAGGGCTTCCTTCTTGGCTTCCAAATACTTCTTATCTTGGAGTTTTTCTAGCCGTGGTTAGTGGGTCATAGTGTCAGCTACGTTGCCAAATGGGAGCTGAAGTGTGTTGTTGGGCGAAGGGTGAAGACGCTGTCAGAGAATAAGACAAAGCCCACTAGAACTTTAAAAACAAGCCAGAAAAAGAACACATACCCACACACACACCCTGAAGAGGAAGTCAGGAGTTTGCAAGCCCTAGAAGGTGGTTATTGTGCTAATTAAAGATTGAAAGCTCACTCTCAAGAGAGCTGAACCAAATCCCTGGGCTGCCTCAGGATTTGTGAAATCAGTGCCATTGTTCTCTGGTCAGTTCAGTCCAGGAGGGGCTGGCGTCCAAGCGTCACTCAAGAGTTCATGGCTAGGCCAGGCGTCATGGCTCATGCTTGTAATCCTAACACTTTGGGAGGCCAAGGCAGGCGAATCACTTGAGGTCAGGAGTTCGAGACCAATCTGGCCAACATGGTGAAACCCCGTCTCTACTAAAAATACAAAAATTAGCTGGGCATGGTGGCACGTGCCTGTAATCCTAGCTACTTGGGAGGCGGAGGCAGGAGAATCGCTTGAACCCAGAAGGTGGAAGTTGCAGTGAGCCGAGATCACGCCATTGCACTCCAGCCTGGCAACAGAGTAAGACTCCGTCTCAAAAAAAAAAAAAAAAAGAGTTTGTGGCTCTTGCAGCCTTAGCCGGCAAGAGCAGTTGCCATGAAATAGCATTATTTCTTTTCTCTTTATGCTATTGTGGTAAAATACACATGGCCTAAAGTTGACCATTTTAACCATTTTTAAGTGCACAGTTCAGTGGTATTAAGTACATTCTACCCTACCATCGATGTGTACCCTACCATCGATCTCCAGCTTCTTTGGGTAAATGCCAGCAAGCATGATTACTAGACCATTTGGGAAGAGTACATTTAGTTTTGTCATGAACTGCTAACTGTCTTCCAAAGTGGCTGCACCATTTTGCATTCCCATCAGCGATGAATGAGAGTTCCTGTTGCTCCACATCCTCACCAGCATTCGGTGGTGCCAGTGTTCTGGATTTTGGTCCTTCTAATAGATGCGGAAGATATTTTTCAATAGGATTCACCACCCTATTTTCTGCATGGATTAAGTCTACACAGGGGGACAAGGGAGTTCTGTCTAGGGGACTAGAGTGAGTAACCTTTTGTTTCCAAAAGTGCTTCAAATCTATTAAATGGAAAGCATTTTCACCTGGTTGATTCTAATCTCCAGTCTTGTGTCTGGAGGCAGATTGTTTCTTTAGACATTTTTCACCGTGTCGGCTGGACGCGGTGGCTCACACCTGTAATCCCAGCACTTTGGGAAGCCAAAGCGAGCAGATTACTTGAGGTCAGGAGTTTGAGACCAGCCTGGCCAACATGGTGAAACCCTGTCTCTACTAAAAATACAAAAATTAGCTGGACGTGGTGGTGGTGCTGTAATCTCAGCTACTCGGGAGGCTGAGGCAGGAGAATCGTTTGCACCTGGGAGGCGAAGGTTGAAGTGAGCTGAGATCTCACCACTGTACTCCAGCCTGGGCAACAGAGTGAGACTCAGTCTCAAAAAAAAAAAAAAAAAAAAATTCACTGTGTCATGTAAGATATAATACCTTATCTCCTTTTAATGTTAAATTATTATTTCTCTTTTTTGTGTCATCTTAAAAGGAAATTTTAGGTTCTTCAGCTGTACCTCTTACATGCAGGTTTCTTCCATGACTTCGGCATCTGTTAAAATTCTCGCCATATTTGGGCCTGCAGTTGATCTCACCATCAAACATACAACAGTTTCTTTTCTAATACTATATTTTTCTCAGTTTCTCTAATTAATGCCCTTGTTGCTTTTGTAACGATGAAGGACATCACTAGTAAACAACTGGGTTTCAACTGATTCTCCTAAAAGGCAATGCATTTTGTCTCCTTCTTTAAATCTTCTGCTTATTTTTCAGTTTGTTATTATAATAAGAGGTCATGTGTGTGGATTGCTTACTTTGTGCTGGGCACTATGCTAAATTCCTTACACATGGTATCTCTTTACGCTTGTAACTTCGTGAGGTATCACGGTCCTCAGTTTTACAGATGAAACTGCAGCCCAGAAAGGTGATTTGCCCAACCAGCAAATTGTGAAACTGGAATTGGAGGCTCTGGTGCCCAAGCTTGCATACTTAGACCAGGCATTAGTAATAGCCTCAGTTTCGTTTATTGGTTTGTTTAGCCTTAGTTTTGAAGCATTTGTTAAGTGCGAGGTCCATGTGGAGTGTGTAAACACTCAATCTCTGTGTGATGACAGTTCCAAGGAGCAGTCCAGCAAGTTCTGTCTGGCCAAATCCAGACCTGGTTTCGATTAGCTTTGTTCCTGATCTCTAGATCGCTCTGCTCTATGCTTGAACCTGTATGCTTGAGTCAAGCTTACCTCTCTGACAGGTGAAGAAAATGATATTTCACTATAATATTAATTTTATTTTTCTTATTACAAAGGGAAGGCATCTTCTCATTTTTCTAAGTCCTGTTGGCTCATTGCCTTTGCTCTTCCTGCATTTCTCTCTCTCTCTCTGTCTTTCCTTTTTTTTTTTTTTTTTTTTGAGATGGAGTCTCACCCTGTCGCCCAGGCTGGAGTGCAATGGTGCAATCTTGGCTCACTGCAACCTCCACCTCCTGGGTTCGAGTGATTCTCCTGCCTCAGCCTCCCGAGTAGCTGGGACTACAGGCACCCGCCACCGCGCCCGGCTAATTTTTTGTATTTTTAGTAGAGACGGGGTTTCACTGTGGTCTCGATCTCCTGACCTTGTGATCCGCCCGCCTCGGCCTCCCAAAGTGCTGGGATTACAGGCGTGAGCCACTGCGCCCAGCCGAGATGGGGTTTCATCATGTTGGCCAGACTGGTCTTGAACTCCTGACCTTGTGATCCACCCACCTCTGCCTCCCAAAGTGCCGGGATTATAAGTGTGAACCACCGCACCTGGCCATATCTGATTTTTTTTTTTTTAAAGATGTCGTTTTGTTGAATTTGAGAATTCACTTAGACCACAGGCCTCTGATGAAAAATATTCTTGTTTTCCTTGTCTTCCTTTTATGTCCTACATAACCTGAGTGTGTTTTAGAGGTGGGATCGCAGTCTTTGCATACAGGAGGAAAGTTGTCATGGTCCTGCGGTCATGAGGCTGAGGGCCCACGATTCTGATGTGGATGGAATGCAGCTGGCATTGCACACGTCTTAGATGCTCTTCCTGACTGCCCCTTTCTTCTAGGCACTGTGCAAGGTGCTGGAGACAGCAGAGAAGAGTAAGATAGTCCCTGCCCTCGCACTGCAGAGGGGAGGCCTGTTCTGCCTCCCTGAGATGGGGGCACTGAGCTAAATCACACGTGAGGAAGAGTTAGCAAGGTGGCCGGAAGGGCATTTAGGCGAGGGGCAGTGAAAGGCAGGCTGGAGCCACAGATTGCAGGCAGAACAGGCAGGAGCCGTGCTTGGGAGGCCTTTGAATGACCTTTTAAGAAGCGTGAACTTGGCCGGACACAGTAGCTCACGTCTGTAATCCCAGCACTTTGGGAGGCCAAGGCGGGTGGATCCCTTGAGGTCAGGAGTTCAAGACCAGTCTGACCAACATGGTGAAACCCCATCTCTACTAAAAATACAAGAAGTAGCTGGATGTGGTGGTGTGTGCCTGTAATCCCAGCTACTCAGGAGGCTAAAGAGGGAGAATCGCTTGAACCCAGGAGGTACAGGAGGTGGAGGTTGCAGTGAGCCAAGATCATGCCATTGCACTCCAGCCTGGGTGAGAGAAGAGAGCAAGACTCCGTCTCAAAAAAAAGAAGCGTGAACTTTACCCTTAGGCTTTCAGTAAATGTTTGTGTGAGCAAATGAACTACTTATGCGGATCGTTCCCCCATAACATCAGACACTCTGTTGTAAAATTAAGCCGGCCAGGTGCAGTAGATCACACCTGTAATTTTAGCACTTTGGGAGGCCGAGGCGGGTGGATCATGAGGTCAGGAGATTGACACCATCCTGGCTAACATGGTGAAACCCTGTCTCTACTAAAAATACAAAAAATTAGTCAGGTGTGGTGGCACTCTCCTGTAGTCCCAGCTACTTGGGAGGCTGAGGCAGGAGAGTTGCTTGAACCTGGAAGGCAGAGGTTGCCGTGAGCTGAGATTGCGCCACTGCATTCCAGCCTGAGTGACAGAGCAAGACTGTGTCTCAAAAAAAAAAAAAGATTAAGCCATGAGGGGCCTCCCATGCGCAAAGCTCTGCCCGTGGTTACTCGATGCCATAAAGGACGGCATAGATCTGTTCACACTCTCGACTTTGTCTCTTGGGTAGAGCGAGCACCCTGGGATGCTTTCCCGCAGACATGTCGTGTGTCCTGCTTATGGAAGCCTAGCTCGGGACAACCATTGCTCCAGGCCGGTGGGGTGGTACCGTTTTCCTCCTGGGAACACAGGTCCCTCCCAGCACCATCTCCAACTGGTAGAAATGTCGGGAGTCACAGCCTGGAAGGGTCTCCTTTAATCCCAATCCGTATCTTCTGGGTGAACCCCTACTCATGGCTTCCTGAGACAGAGAAGCACATGGCCCTCACCCATCATGGGCTCCGAGGTGTGACCGAGAAGCTGGCCACGTACTAAGAAAGTCGTTGTGCCTGCCTCATCTCCAGCGCTGCCAGAGCTGCCGTGGACTCTCGCCATGCAGTCCCTCTACCCCCTTGTTGCGTGCATCTCTTTCTTGACAGCCACACCAGGGCACGGCTGCAGTCTCTCTGGCTTCAGCAGATTCACGCTCCATTGTAAATATCACTGCCTTCTTCCTCATGTGTTTTTTTTTCTCGTTTGACAGGCTCTTCAGAGTAACCTGAGGTACTCCTTGTTGCCAAGACGGCTCCTCATCAGTAAAAGATTAGCTCAGTGTTTGCATCCTGCCCTGCCCAGTGGTGTGCACTTAAAAGCCCTAGAAACCTATGAGATTATCTTTAAAATTGTGGGGACCAAATGGCTGGCCAAGGACTTGTTTCTGTACAGGTACGATTGCTTCTCTGCTGTGTTCCTTTTTATTACCCAAGTAACCAGTATTTCAGCTCACAAGATGAGAAAATGACAAACAGGCAATATAAGTGTGGGGCTGTGTGTGCAGCAATTAATCATAAAGCCATCATCAGGAGACGTCACTGGGCGCCTTCTAGAGTCTATCCGTCCTGACTTTTCTGTAAGGGAACTGTAGGATCTGAACGTGCGGACAGCTTCATTGCCGGCTCATTACATAACAGTGTTTTGTGACCATCTCATGTCACACACACATCGAAACCAGCAGTTTAAATGGCCAGCTGTTTGCTTGTGAAAACTCCCCTGGGCTGGCTTGTCACGTGGGACTTCTGACTGGGTATCTCATTTCTGCCCCGTTCCCTCTCGTTCTTTCTCGAAGCTGCGGGTTATTTCCTCTCCTGGCACATGCGGCGGTGTCGGTGAGGCCGGTGCTGCTCACCCTGTACGAGAAGTACTTCCTCCCACTGCAGAAGCTGCTCCTGCCCAGTCTGCAGGCGTTCATCGTCGGCCTGCTGCCCGGCCTCGAAGAAGGCTCCGAGATCTCCGACAGGTGCGTGGGCGTCCTGTCCAGGCTGTGTTTACTCCACTGCTTTATAAGACACAGGGAAGGGGCCGGGTGCGGTGGCTCACGCCTGTAATCCCAGCACTTTGGGAGGCCGAGGTGGGCGGATCACATGGTCAGGAGATCGAGACCATCCTGGCTAACACGGTGAAACCCCGTCTCTACTAAAAAATACAAAAAATTAGCCGGGCGTGGTGGCGGGCGCCTGTAGTCCCAGCTACTTGGGAGGCTGAGGCAGGAGAATGGCATAAACCCGGGAGGCAGAGCTTGCAGTGAGCCCAGATCACACCACTGTGCTCCAGCCTGGGCAACAGAGACTCAGTCTCAAAAAAAGAAAAAAAAGACACGGGGAAGAAAGTACAGAGACATGGCAAGCAGCAGTAAGTGTAGAGGTCGGGTTGCTCTTTCACATTTCCTTGGTGGTTGTGATTTCAAAATGCCGTGTTCCTCCCAGGAATCTGTGTCTCTTTACCAAAGGGGAAGTCCCGAGCCTGGAGCGATGAGATCCTTTATGCGGAGAGAAATGTAGCTCATTAATAAGGGAGACCATAGTGTAGGGTTCCCATGGTGTCCTGTCCCGCTACGGAGTTACCCGCGGAGTCATCATGTGTGGAGGGGAAGACATACCCTCTGAGGGCCCCTAGTGTGGCGGAAATGAATGGACCCTTTCCTGGGCACTTGGAGCCTGCTTTACACAGATAATCACGTTGCGTGATGAATTCCTCTGCTCCAGGAGTTACCTCCATTTACAGGTGAGGGTCAGAGGGTGAGAAGGTTTCCCACTCGCACAGTCAGCGAGCCCCAGAGCTGGGATTCTATTCCACTGTGTCTATTGGATTCTTTTTTTTTTTGAGACAGAGTCTTGTTCTATCATGTTCTATCGCCCAGGCTGGAGTGCAGTGGTGCAATCTTGGCTCACTACAACCTCCGCCTCCTGGGTTCAAGCGATTCTCCCACCTCAGCCTCCCAAGTAGTCAGGATTACAGGCATGTGCCACCACGCCCAGCTAATATTTGTATTTTTAGTAGAGATGGGGTTTCTCTGTGGTGGCCAGGCTGGTCTCAAACTCCTGACCGCAAGCCATCCGCCCACCTCAGCTTTCCAAAGTACCTGGATTACAGGCGTGAGCCACCGTGCCCATCCCGTATCGGATTCTAAAGTCCTTCTTCTTTCCATTAAACTAGGCTGCTTCTAAATTAAAAAGCAAAGCCAGGGCAGGGCTTGAAAAGGCAATTTAGTGTGATATGAAGCAGAATATCTTGACAGATTTCAGTAGCACCTTGAAGAAATGTGTAACACTCATATGCACAAAAGTTCATGTTTTTTGTTTTTTGTTTTTTTCCGGTCACTGCTTAGGAATGGGAGACAGTGTGTATCTGTTCAGACTATTGAGTATGGCTGGGCACGGTGGCTCACACCTATAATCCCAGTACTTTGGGAGGCCAAAGCAGATGGGTCACTTGAGGTCAGGAGTTCAAGACCAGCCTGGCCAACATGGTGAAACCCTGTATCTACTAAAAATGCAAAAAAATTAACTGGACATGGTGGCATGCACCTGTAATCCGAGCTCTTTGGGAGGCTGAGGCAGGGGAATAGCTTGAGCCCGGGAGGCGAAGGTTGTAGTCAGCCGAGATTGTACCAGTGCACTATAGCCTGGGTGACAGAGTAAGACTATGTCTCAAAAAAAAAAAAAAAAAAAAAAAAAAAGCTATTGAGTACACACAGTGACCTTTGTTTCTGGAGAATTATAAAGTAAGAACTCACTTCCAGCTTATTAACTCTTCTGAGAGATGCCACAGTGATTCACCTCTGTTAATGGGACCTGTTTTAAGAGCCCATGTTCAGTCACTGGTGATTTTTGTGCTTGTAAAAGCTTCCATGTGATTATACAATGCACTGCTCACATTTCCCTGTGCTGGAGGCCCTAGTCAGGTCACCCTTCCCTGTGGTGTTAGCTGTGACTGAGGGGTGCAGGAGGCTGGAATGGAACCCAGGAATCAATCCAGGTCCCTTTGCACAGCTCCCCCAGCCTCAAGTAAACCAAGTAATCAGAATGGTTTGAAGGGTTAGTTAGGAAGTGGCCAAGGGTGCATTTCATGAGCTGTATATCAGGACATGACAGATGTAACCAAAACATTGCCCTTTAACCATTTCAAGCTCTCACATAGACCAGGTGTTGTCTTTCCATTTCCCAGAGGAGAATCCACCTTTACAGTTTCTACCTTAGGAGGCACAATCTGTCTCGTTGTAGTTTTAAGTCCAGCACCAGGCCCTGTGGCTGGTACACGGTGAGACTCGGTAAGTGTGTGTTGAGTTAATGAGCCATCCAGGTCACACAGGAGGCAGCTGGAGGACATTACTAGACTCCATGCCAATGGACTCCTAATCCCAGGCCCTTTCTATAAGTTCTGCTATGTTTGTGTTCTGATGACAGATATGTGAGTATATGTCCTACGTGATTTTTCCATCATTGGACAGATGAACACATTAGTTCCCTAAAGCTTACTGTGATCTTTTAAATCTGTGTGAATCACACTAGAAGTGGAAATAGTTGGAGTGTTTTTGTTTGTTTTCTTAGTTGATAAATGAAGGTTCATTTGAATAGTTGCTAAAGTTGCTTAACATTGATTTTTTTCCCAAATATTGTGGTTTCTTGACATTGAACCAAGAGCCAAGTAAAGCTTCATGAATCACTGAATCTATTTAGCTGTGACAGAAAACCAAATGCAGTGTGGCACCCAGCAGTGATTAGTTATCAGCTCTCCAAGGTGGATGCCGGTGAAAGGTTATACAATAACCTCTGAGCCAGTGTGTTGCAGCCACAGTCATGGAAGTGATGGTGCAAGACTTTTTGGTTGCTGTGTCCATTTTAGTCTGAGACAGTTTGGTAACTGTTCCCAGAAGTTCTTGGGTAGCCAGGTGTGGTGACAGGCACCTGTAATCCCAGCTACTTGGAAGACTGAGGCAGAAGAATCATTTGAACCTAGGAGGTGGAAGCTGCAGTGAGCCGAGATCGCACCACTGCACTCCAGCCTGGGCAATGGAGCAAGACTCCATCTCAAAAAGAAAAGAAAAAAAGTGCTTGGGAATTGAGTGAAACACCCCAACAAATGTGCAGAGAGCAAAAAGGGAGGGTGCAGTGGGGGGTCATGATGAGCACGTGGGTAGAAATTGCAAAATGGTGAGTTAGGTTGAGCTGGCGAAGGCT